CCAACGAGGTAATCTTGGTCCGGTAAAACAACAAGGTCCGGAAGATGGAAAAGCTACATGAGCGGAAAGGGTTGACACTGTCACTACAGGGCTCCTGCAAGATTGATACTGACCCGAACAACCTAAAACAAGTTGCTCGAGAGTCTAATTCCCTAAGCGGACCACCTGTTTATTCCTAGAGTTCAATCTGTATCTGACCATAGTCCCCCCTACCCCGCTCCATTCGGCACTTAATGGACGATCGGGCGCGTTCATACGCTGGACGAAAATGTACTGGACTCGACGCTGATGCCGTCGAGTTTAAGCTAATCCGCAATTTACGTAAGCAAAGGGTTAGGGAATTCCACAATAGACAGCAGAAAGCAATTATTCTTCGTGCTAGAACTAAACTTTATTCCTTATTTAAATCACTCCGCCGTAAAAGGCAATCAACCCCCTCTGCACTAGCCCTCAAGCTATTTGATGGCTCTCCTGTAACCTGCTCTGCTCAGGTAGCTGCGATCTTTCGGTCTCATCATAAATGCGCCTTTAATTTTCCTCCTGTCTTCCCACCCCAATCTTTCTTCTCCTAATGCACCATCTCCATTAGAACATTTCGTCATTCTTCCAGGGGAGAAAGAATCACTCCTCAAATCCCTGAATCCCTTTAATTCGATGGGAGCAGACGGTATGCACCCTCTTGTGTTAAAAGAAGCCGCCTCGGTTCTTTCCTCGTACTATTCCACCCTCTTCCAAAGTGTCTAGATGCTGGAATATTCGCTTCATCTTGGAAGAGAGGCATCATATCCCCCAACTTAAAAAGGGGGACCGACACACTCCAAGTAGTTATGTACCCATCAGCCTGACTAGCGTGCCCAGCAAGGTCTTCGAACGGGATTTAAAAAGGGCCATTCTAAAACACCTAACAGGCAATCAGCTTCTTTCCCAAATCCTACACGGCTTCCTCCCTGGCAGATCCTGCATCTCCAATATGATATCTGTTATGGACAGTCTAACACTAGCCCATAATGACGGCTTGATTCCTCACGCAATTTTCATTGATTTTACAAAAGCTTTCGATCGTGTCCCTCACGCTCCCTTACTCTATGAGCTCGAGTCATATGGCCTCAGTGTCAGACTCCTCGAACATCTTCGCGATTTTCTCACGAGCTGCACCTTCTCGGTCCGCGTATGTTCATCACTCTCATCTGACTGTTCCATTTCTACCGGATTCCCGCAAGGTTCCGTCCTTGGCCCTCTCCTCTTCCTCTTACATATTAATGACCTGAGACACAGGGTCGGAGTTAACGTAGCAATGTGCGCTGATGATGTGACAATTTGGGGCACCGACCCTGTGGTTGTTCAGTCAGCAATGGGTGCAGTCAAAGATTGGTTTACAGCCTGGAACCTTGCAATAAACGACGACAAATGCGTTAGTATGTCGTTTGGGAGTGCTCCCGTTCACAGCTTCAGGACTAACGCTTCCACGACTATGGAGAGTGTAGAACACCACAAGGTTCTTGGTTTCTGACTGACCAGGTCACCAGGGGCAGCGGAGGTGCGTAAACTAGGCGCTGGGGAGACGGAAGCCATAAAATCTACCGATGTGGTCAGGAATCTAGGGGTGCAGATACACTCATCCTTTTGACCCTTAACGCAATGCGCGGCAGGCACAGCGAAGGCCAATAGAGACTTATTCCAACTCTGTCGAACGGTATCATCGAGGGAAGCTAAAGTGCTCTTGCCATTTTATAAGGCTTTATGTGACCACATCTGGAGTACTGTCTCCAGGTCCGGACCCCTCACCTGGTAAGGGATAAACGACTGCTTGAGACAGTGCAGAGAAGGTTCACCCGGATGATCAGTGGACGGCAGGGTAAGTCATACAAAGAAAGGCAGGCGGCCCTTGACTTATTATCTTTGCACTGCCGTCGACTGAGGGAGGACTCGAATGGGATGCTCAAACAGCTCAAAGGACTGTCAATAGCAGAGAGATCCACGTTTACGCTAAATCCCAATCCAACCCTCAGAGGGCATGTCCTGAAGGTGATAAAACAACGGGCCAACTGAAGTGCCAGGGCACAATTTTTCTCCCACCACGTGGTAAACGTATGGAACAAGCCCCCACTTACAGTAGTAGTAGCAACTAATATTCTGTAATTCAAACGGAGACTGAAAACATGCTGGGACGAGCTGCTTCCGGAGTATGACTAGCCCAAGTCTCAGTCACTACCCACATAACTTAATTGTAGCCGTTTGTCTATTTCACCATCATTCCTTTAAATCACTCACCTCACGCACAATTACTACATTTGTTTATCCCCCGGGAAGCTCTCATGGCAGGATTAGCAGTCCGCTGAGGTGCAGCATTTGTCAAATGATTGAGACTGCTGATTCATCGAGGGCGATCCTGCTGTTCGTCTCCTCTCTCGTAGGTACAATATTCAACATACAACTGTGGAACTACATGGCAGTCGCAGCACAGTGAAAAATACCAGCTCACATGTGCAAGAACCTGGACGTCCACTGACCGAAGTCTAAATTCATGTGACCTGATCTGACCTGAAAAATAAATTCTACTTTAGCCGGAAATTAGGGAAATGCGGTAAACTCGAGCTTGAGCGTTGGAATTATTCTCGAACCGACTGTCCTGTCACATGCGATCTGAGTATACGCACGCATGTGTACTTGAGGTCTTTAACCAACGCGGCGAGGAGATATCCTTGCTTGTTTTCCTCCATTTCAGCAGAATCCCAAGGTGTCAACGCTCTGGATACGAGGCTAAATTGAGAGGATTACAAATGTCTAATGAACTGCATTCAGCGTTGGAAGCTACTCATATCTGCCAGAAACAGAGCGAACTGNCGCTCGATTGGCAAGAGCCATATTCGTGCCGTGCAAGCTGAACTGAACTGAACTGAACCTGAATTGTTTCAATATGTTGATGAGAGTTGATTAATTTGAGCGCGCTAGATAAAACTAGGAGTTCATGTTCAATATGTGGTGTATCATGCGCTACATTTCCTTGTGATACTGATATAGAATTAAGCATCTTTCAAAGAAATAAGCTGAACTATGGATGAAGATATTTATGAAGAGGATAGTGTATTTCTTATCAATGACTTGAAAATCAAATGGTTTACCCTTCTGTCTAGAGTCGATGCATGTAGGTGCATTGTTGATTAAATTCAATTCCAATAGCCCCAACAATCGATGAAACGGTGCTCACATCTCTCAATTGCATCGCAAATCTACTCATATCCAACCGTCCTCCGAACGGTTATGATATACTTTTCGAAGCCGCATTAAGATTAGGTGTGTTCGAATCCATATTCCGGTGGAATTTCGTATTTTGCGGGGCTGACTTGGAGGCGTTCAAAGCGAAAGAACTGCAATTCTATGATACCCTTATCACTGGAGAAGGAAAGCAATATTTACGCTATCCAGAAGTGAGCGATTAATTATCATATAATTATCAGTTCGATATTGCCCATTTTATAATGTTACCAGTTCATTTATGTTCACCATTTCAAGAATTTTATTCTCTTCTGCTGGAATGTTTACTCCAGAACTCTTTTATATTGCTCAGTAGTTACTGCGACGATGGATACTGCTATCAGGACAGTTCTAGTCAGGTTGCACAGGACTAAACATGACCAAGACCAGTCGAGCGTCAAGAATTCCTTCGATGGTATACTCACAACGTGGGCACCTAGCTCTTCTGCACTAAAAATGAGAAACAGGATATCACCTCACCAAAATGGTGAGTGAATTGTTAGACATGAGGGTTCTGTTACGTGCACTAGTAAAAAAGAGGAATGAAATCCTAAGCATTTGTCACGGTTTCACTCATCTTCATTGCCAGGGAGGGGAATAGTTCCACCTATCGCTTATCAAGTGCAGTCTTAAAGGCCTGAACTGCTTGGAGGTTGACTATTTCCTTTGGAAGCCAGCTCCAACTATCGACTATCCTGTTGCTGACAAAGTGCTTTCCCACATTTAGCCGACATTTAAATTTGTTCAATATCACTACCTCCAAGTCGCTAACCCGAGTAGCAAGTTCGGCAGTGTAATATTGCTCATCCGATTGAACTTTCATTCTGTTGAATGCCCTTGTGAGGACATGACTCTTAGTTGGTAAGACGTAGGTTCCATTCCTTTGCTCATCTAGCTACCTGCTCTAAATGCCGTTCCAGTTCAGGTTAGGTCGAGTCCCAGGAGGTGGGGCTTAGGCTAGATACCGTCTCAACGGGACTCTACTGGGACTGTAATGAGACAAAACCCGCCGCAATGCTAGCAGGAAGTGCAATGATCTATCACATGATGTATGTCGTGATCCAATGCATGGGATGAGGTGAAAGTTTTACTGTAATCGATTCAGATCACATAAGCAAATAGAATGTTTTGTGGTCTCAAATGATCGCTAAAGCCGTCTGAGCAATTGCTTTTACGTTTCATGAATTGGGAAAACTAAAGTATATGCTGTATGATTTCGACTGAAGGGACCACCAACTAAATATAAATTTTCGGATGCTACACTTTGCGCCGGCATTTGGTAGGGGATTGATAGCAATTAAATTAAAATATTTGGTAGATGTTCTGTTAAATTCATTCAAATCTAACCTAGGCAGCACACTTGACAGTTTGCAGACCAAAAACTATAATTAGCACTGATTTTCGCTTTTGATTTCAGTGAGAAGAGTTATAAAAGCATTTATTTCAGATAAATAGTCCATTGTTCTTATTGGAGTGAGATTGTATCTCCCTTTTAAATGCTTTTTATTCTGGAAGCGGAAAGCCACATGCAGGGCTGGAATCTCTCGCCTAGGGTTATTTATTTAAAATCGCCGGAGTTGACTAACGTTTTTCCAAACGACGTCGAATATTAAGAATTAAGCTTGGATCTCTAACCTAGAGCGGTTTTGTACTAGCCCAACGCTAAGGTCTCTCGTGAAATGAATACAATGAACAGCTCATTTTAATTGAGTTTTGACGTACAATTTACAAGTTTGGAAGTTTTATCCGATCGCCTAGCTATCAGAAAAAGTGCTACCAGAGTGTAAATGTGGTACATTTGTTTGCTCTCTTACCCGAGCTAATGATCCTTGTTATACCGCAATCTGGATTAGGTATTCCATGTAGTTTATCAGTAAATTGGCACGCATAATAAAATCTTGGCGGTAAAAACCCCAATATTTTTCTCTCAATAAACCACATTTCTGAGATTAATTGTTTTCAGTTTTTCCAGTGAAGTAATACGCGAAAAGATGTATACTTTGGCAAAAAATAGTTTATAAGAATTTTTCAAGCGTTCATCCTTGCGGTTACGGCAATATATGGTCATTTAGTAAAGTGCAAATCCAGGAACTAATTGAAATCGCAAAGTGAGAATGTTGCAGACAAATCTGGTAATTCGTGACGGAAGGGTTTTTCACATACTTTTGAACAACGTAAAATCAAAATCCTTTAATAATTGTGTACAGTTTTCATCTATTTAGGCTACTGTTCCGTTGATCAAATGCTTGAAATTTTCTGAACTGTAGTATAAAACTCTATCAATGAACTATTTTGAAACGTGATCAATACATCCCTGTATCGTATTTCAGAGGGAGAGAATTATGATTAAATCGTAATAATTCACTCTTGTTTACTAAAATTTGTGCATCATTTCCCTCCAAAATCAACTGACAAAATTTGTTTGCTCAGATACTCCTGATTATGAGATGCCAGGTGCTCCCCGATCCATTTTATTGGCTACATTTGCTACTGTGTTACTGTCTCTGGTTGTGACAACTAGCACTAACTCTCATTAAAAAGAACTTGCAATTAGTGGCACGAACTTGGTTGATCTTGGGAGGTTTGGGAAATGAGCCAACTGATAGTCATTCATGATGAGTCCGTAGTTTATGAAAAGACCTGGAGTAACCTCCCAGATTCTGATAATAGACGTGTATTGAATTACATAATAGTGAAATTAAGAGAACTCGTTTATTTGGGTGTTCTTCTTATGTTTGTATAGTGGTCTAAACATTTAGGCAGTGGTATAATGCAAACCGTGCGCAACAGAATGTATTCGAGGAAACATACCATCAATCGGTTACAATTAAATAAGTGAAGCATTTGGGTATGCAAATGGATTGTATAAATCAAGATTTGGCTACCTTCGATACGCACCTTTGATATGCACATGCGTGTCTCAGTTGCTCTGTTGGTTTTGACTTGCATGATACAAAGTCATATGCAGAGGTTCCAATTAACTGAGTAATTAGTTGAAATTTGAGGCCAAGTTTCAAAAGTATCAAATCCTCAGGACTAACAACGTCATCCTCTCAAATTAATTTTTAACTACTTTTAGTTAACCACATTGCTCCTCACACTATCCAAAGCCCCAATGGTAAATAATCAGGATATACTTTGTTCATAAAGATTTTTCGTCTTTTAACCACTAATCGGACAGCAAGTAAATTTACTTTCTATGAAACCTCTAAGTCATAAAATAAATTTCAATGTGGGTATTGTGTTACTTTGATATCCCAGTTATCTTCATTTTCCCCGTGTTTAAATGTTTCACACCCTTTGAACTCTGTTTTGTGCCCCAATCTACCTGTCCCCTTTCATTATTATTGTAATTATTGTTGTTGGGTTGGTACTATGCTTGTCTACAAGCCGGTGGTAAATATATATATCTTTAACACGACCAGCAGTTATTCGGTCAATGAACCCGTGGTTTTGCAACATTCAATCGCAGTGAAAGTGATATTTTTTGACATTAAACATTTTATGAATTGTGGTCAAAGATGTACTACATATTTCAAGTACCGTTTTCTGGACCACCATTAAAATATCTGACGGATCATTACTTAACGCAATGATTTAACTAATCCCGTAAAACCCTAAGGTCAGAAACACGTTGACTTGAACAACTAAATTCATATGGATTTGCCTGAGCGTGGACCAGAGTCATGCAAATATTGTCTAACTTTCCTACAGAATTAATTTAAAAGTCAAAGGGTGCCAACTAATGCTGAGCTTGAATGAGTAATTGATAATTAAATGACATACGTATCAGACTGTTTAACCACAGACCCCACACTGCTTGACTAGCTTTATGTTTCTACTGATCACCATCGCTATCATCCGGATTATTATCAAACCTATCCTATTTCGGTATATTGTTGTTCACGACCTTAAGTTCTAGATTTTAAGTTTCCGGTTGTCATACGTAAATTAAAAAATCCTCATGAACATGACCCTTGCTCCTTTCTGTCGATCAAAAGAAAATGGCGTGCCGTAGAAAGGTTACTCCTAATCACACATCGTATCGTTTGTTTTTTTTAACTTCTGTATCTCAGATTACTTTTTTTAACTAAGCCGGTGTTCAGATGTTTTGTAACAAAAAAAGCAATTCGTAGTTTGCCTAAAATTGCAATATTCTTAGCGTGCACAATCATACAAAAGCAACTACTTCACTAAGTCTTAGAAACAAAGTCTTTTCCTAGCCAAAGTTTGACTCGTATTTCAAATGGGAACTATTCAGAAAATAACTTGAATGGCTACAAACCAAATCTCATTAATCCAAGTGAAGAATCTGACTTCTACGTGAGAGATGCTCTTATTTTGGAGTTTGAGGTAAATTGATCGAGTTATGACTTATTTAGATAGTCTAGTTACATAAAATAACACAACATAAATTGAAAGTATTGTTTCCTCGTAATCAGTCTGAACAGAGGAACCAAAAATACAGATTTGAACATTGTGTCCTGGATCATTTTACTGCATCTGTACAGGTGCATACTACAGTTTATGTGATCATTAATACGTGGTCAAAAATAACAGAATCACAGAACTGCGAAATGCATGTGAACAGATACATCAAAATGATTCATGGTACATGGTGCAAATCTGTGTTTTTGGCTTCTCTATTTAAAAGCATAAATTACCCTAAGCGTTCAGGTATACCGATTAAGATTAATGCAGCTATGACCCTTGTCAATCTAAAAGATCAATGCTCAAAACCGATGTGCTGACAGTAGAACCTGCATGAACAGCAAAACAATGTAACCCATCTAAAAAGATGACAATACACTGGTTGAACACGGACAAACGCCCGTTTCTTAAACTATGTAAGATCCTAGAATGAAAAGCATCAATAAAGCTTTCTTAATTGATTGTTTCTACAGTTTGCAAATAGGGAAACTCAAGTATCTGGTTTGAAGCACACAGAGAGAGGTTTTACAGACGAACTGGCACCCGACAGCAAATCTGACGTGATTATCGGCCACGAACCTTACACAAGGAAAGACTCGGTCACGAACAGTGTAAGTTGTTTCAGCCAGGTGTAGACTTTGTTGTGATGCATTGACATAATTGCGTGTGGTGAAAAAGAGTTTGTTCGTCACCCCGTATTTTGTTTGAAGTATGGGACTATTCAGAAAGTTTACATAGACATAATCATCCGAATAATATCAAGGTTTAGCGTAGAAGGCAATCAGTAGGGCTGTTAAGTTTTATTCAACGATCATCTCTGACAATTGGAAAAAGTTGTCTATGAGTTGACAAAAATTGGCTGGCCTATTTGGGAAGCATAACCCATATTATTGATTAGATATGCAATCGGCAAAGTGCTGCAGAGAAAGAACCATGCAACCCACCATTTTGAAATACATTTAAACTTGGTATATATTTGTGCTAAAAATGGTCGATTTGTGCATTGTCGTAAAATCAATGTTTTATTAAGAGAACATTAGTCATTAACTACATCCTCGACACCGTTAGCGGTTGCAAAGCTCGAACACATCTCTTTATCATGTGCGGCAAATGTTTGTGGGATTGAGTGATTGAAACTAACTGTCTCTCAGAGTTCACCTTCAAGGCACATTTCTCAGCTCTTTCAGCCAACCATACAACCGGAACACTAGGCTCGGGTTTTTTTTCCTATTAGAGCTCACCAGTAGTGCATATCCACCGTCCCGTCCGGGATCATTTTTCATATTAATATTCATTATCTAACACCACTGATCACTAGCAAATGGGAGTTAAATGTTTATGGAATTGTTCTTGTTACAACAGCGGTTGTGATCCAGGCTGTGCAAGCGATGAGCACAAAATAAGCAAACCTTTTTCATGTCAAATAGTTTCTTATGCGTTCATATGATGATTTTCATTTCCTTTGTACACGTATGTAATATGTATCTATTAAAAGCCAAAAATTAATGCCTGTGCTCTGGGTACTTTCCATCTGACTTTGATTACATTTCAGTTCGCGATTCCCCTGTTGGCCACGCTTCATCACTGTGCCATTCGATCAAGTTTACCGGTAGAAAGGGTATTAGTTCGTACACTGAATTCAGTGTGTGCCGCGATGTGCGCACAGTTCAGTGAGTCGGATTTCTCGTACACCACCAGTCAAGTATGCAACGGTACAAAGGAATCTGGAATCGAACTGACCGAGGATTTGTCCTTTTTTCGTCGATTAAGTATGGGCTTGGTGACTGACTTTCGTCATCATATGGGCTTCAAACTGAACCGAATGAACGAGGATGCATCTCAAAGTTTACGCGATTTCAACGGGTTTAATCCGGACAGTGGATCATTCATTAAAATGGCAGACACTGTTGATTGGCCCTTATCCATCGAACCAGATCCATCCGGGTCAACAGATGCAGCAATTACATCCTTGGAACGGTCATTAAGTTTCACATCACAAGACAGTTCGTGTAATATCGATTCTATCTTTGATTTGCTGATCCCATTTGTTTTTCGGGAGGGTGATTTGGGCTGGCAAGCTCGAGATGCATTTTTACTGGTGGCAACTTATTCGAATAAAGACGAAGACTTCAGTTACAACTTGGCACAACACAGTTCCGTTTGTCCGGTAAGTTTGGTTCTTAAATTTTCTGATGAAACAAAGCAATGACACGTGGATCGAACACTGAACACAAAAAGAGCTGGGTTTAAGCCTAATGCCGGCGTGAGGGGATCGCTGACAAAATAACGGCTGGTTGAAAATTGATGAATTCGGATAGAGGCAGATAAAACATCACCAATCTAAGGGAGAATTAGGTGTTTTGTATAAACTGAAACGATAAATTAAATTGAATCCATGAACTTCTGATGAGCACTGCAACCCAAATCTTGTGATTGAATTTGACGCCAGAAATGGAATTTTAGATAAATATCCTTTGAGCTGTTTTGGATACACGCAGCCACACTAGGCTAATCATCCCCTAATACATATATATATATATATATATTTATATATATAAGAAGTAATAAAAATCGAAAGTTGATCATTGGCTGTTCGTCACAGAACCATTTGTTACTTTTCAGTACAACTCAGGGGAGCTAATCATAAGGCGCGTGCTCTTCTGAATAGGATTAGTCCATCGCAGGTTCCTGTCAAATGTGACACGCGAAGTCTATTAGACGGATAAGGAACAGGATAGTTAAGAGAAAGACATCAAATTCAGTAGCCTCGGTGAGCTACTGAACTTTTCACAATCGACACACAAAGTTCAAATCTACCAAAAACAACTAGTTATTATCAATTTCACTCGTGGCCAATGTGGATCAAACCAGTTTGGATTGCGAGACCCAACCAGTGATGTTCGGAAGTACCAAGACGTAGTTAGGGAGACGAGTGACCATAAGAACATGCGGGTGAATGACAAATGTGGTAACAAGGCAAAATGAAGAAAAGGACAGACTAACTATCCATGCAGCACCCGCGGGAAAGTAGACGCCTTTCAGATAAATGGTCCTACGGTCAAAGTGAAAGACTCATGAGGGACGCACCAGTCAAAGATTATACCCGGCTCCACAGAGGAAAGTGTGAATATGGAAGCAAGACAGAAGGATTATCGGCCATAATTACAGATAAAGAAAGCAGACTCCATTTCAGTTTTTAATGAATTGGATAGAAGAATTGTTCTTACGAACTAATAAAGTTCATCCGAACCGCTGAATTCACACTAAACATCACAGGTTCTGGATTACTGTTAGATCGAGTTTCTTTTCAAATAAGTGAGGAATATAGGAGACTGTATGAGATACTACAGGTGTGCATGACTTTCATGTGACGACAGCATTCGAGGATGAACCTCGGTGTCACAGACAGAGCTGTGAACTTATGGGAAAAAGAGCTCCGTAAGTGTTATAGTTGGTGTGACGTGGTCCGTCGGAGAGCCGAATACCCCCAGGCAAACTGTTTTCACAAATTTCAGTTAGAAAACCATCGGTTAACACAATGCAGTCGACTTGACTCTTTCCATTGAAGAATGCTGGAATAAAAGCGGAGTAAAATAATTAGGCCATTTTTGTGTGCGTGTTCCTCCTCAAATATTGAGAACTCTGGGGAGGCAGGACGAGACGGATCGTGTGTGAGATCCTAAAAACTACACCATTCAAGATGGCCCTTCACATTTGGTTTATAACCTCAGTGAAGCATTTAGAACCGACAGACGAACGAAAACTGAGGCTACCCCATCGCAGTTGTAATCATAACGTTTTTGTATTTACAGAAACCTATGGTACGGCATAAATACTGGGTGACAGAACCAAAAACTTTATTGCCAATGAGAGGTGAACGTGAGATTCCGACAACACTCAGAACAAAGTTTAAAGAGGCTCACGAAAGGAAGAAACTGGCCTATATTTGTGCTTTTGAAAAGTTGGATAAAATGATAATAGTTACCGGGTGCAAGAAAACCGAAGTTTTGACGATGCTCAAACTCTCGTCACTGTTTTCCATAACTGTTTCCATAATATCAGGTTCTTTGTAACCTCTTTAGTTGACCTATGGAAAGGTCATTGTCCCTATCAACAAAAAGAACGCAAAACGCGAGAGATCTGTAAGGCAAGGACAATTGAGACATAGTTCCGCAAAATGCGCTACAGAAACCACATCCACCCCGATGACCTAATTAAACGCTGCAACGTGTAACTTCCCTTGTTCGCTCAAACAGCCATTGTTCTGTTGAGAGAATAACCAAAGATTAAGTAATGACTAGAGGCGTCATTTGTAGTCGATTTGCATCTTGCACGAAAGCATCGGAATTTATCTAACCAAACGGGCAGCTCACTATCAAATCCTCAATGATCCTTGTGGTGCGGTAAGTATGTATTTGTATTATAAACTACAAACTGTTTAATTGATAAGCACACAAGCCTTAGTCATCTACATGGTCAGTATTGGATTAAGTCTAGAATGCCATTTGCTTCAACATAGTGCCTTCCCGATAAGTTTTCGATTATCATTGATCAGATCGGTTTCATCCTATCAAAGCTTCTGCTCTTAATGATCAACCCAATCGTTTTACGATAAGATTGAGACATTTCAGCATGATGGATACTCGTGAACATGGAATACCGCACTTCAATCAAAGTAGAAACAAAAGTAGCGTCGTGGGTCAAACATGTTACGCATTCTGTTGACATCAGTCGAAATGAGTTTTGGAAACGACCATGTTGAATTGACTTCACTTTTTCATCTCCCTCCACCCCGATCCCATTCACACAGGTCATTGCTACTGGACTGGCCACTTTGTATGCGGAATTACCACGTGAACTAATTTCAAACAACTATCCTCAATCGTGGCCGGAATTGGTTCAAACAATGGAAGAACGGGAGCAGAATTGCAGTCAGTTTATTGAGTTTTTCAGTGCGCTGGAGTTTTGTGAATCGGTTCTGGAGGTGAGTGACTGTGTATTGTAAAATTCATGTCCCTTGTGTTTTATTTTACCAGAATAAAAAATGCTTTCATCAGAAGGAAAAAATGAGCAACAATACAGGATCATATTAAGGTGACAAAACAAAGTCTTTCTTTTTGTAATCAGTTGCTTTCTGCTTCATCATGCTTTTCAGTCTGTTGTATTGTTCACCACATCTTAATCACAGACCAGTTTGAAACGAACCACAAGCAAGTAATGAAAGTCCTACCGCCGCCCGATGATGCCACCCGAGGGCTAAGGTGATCACAACGGGTCAGCCATGCAGAAAAGAGCTCAAACGTATACTTATGCCAAAAAACTATGATGTCATAGGCAGTTCGCCTTAAAAGGTTCAGAAAAAGAGTTTATTACCTCGGAATTATTGTGAAACACTCTAGCTACTCAGGAAATTCCATGAATGTTTCGGGGTTCCATCAAACTGAGCTATCTCAAAAACCGGTAGCCGTAACCGACGATGTGTGACTATTCTTGGGACTATGTCCAAGAATTGACTGGAGCGGTCGCCTGACATCCTTCGCAGTACGTTCCTAGAGAGTCTAAAGTGACTTCTCGCTCAATCCCGGCCTGTGCATACGCTTATGGTTATTCGTCACTAGCCTTTTAGCCGTCTGCAACC